CGTTTCCCCATCAACTTCACTTAAAAGTTGTAAATTTTTCACAACTGGGACAATAAAAGTAGCCAATATAGACAATATGTATTGTCATATTTAGTACTACATAAACAAAGCTTTTTGCTGGTGAAATCAGACGACTGATTTGATTTTTAGTAAGAGACAAAGACAATGTGGCTTTGGTATATTAAACTGAAGACTGTCCGAATATTAAACTAAAAGTAAAAATAAGTAAAGACAACAACTGATCCAATGACTAGCCCAACGTAACAACAGAAAACAATTATAAAGACATTCATTTTAAATATATACTTAAAATTGAACATGTCTTACTTTTACAAATTATGTCCCAGTGATGATTTACTACTATTTTCTACTATAAAAATTTTATGACATTTCTACTACGTCACCAGAAGAGTTCACTACATAGAACTAACTACGTTATGTCCATTTTTGTAGTAGATACATTTGGAGACGTAGAAATATGACGCACACACGCAAAAATATATTGAGACACATTGTGTTTTATTTAAGTAAATATTCTTCGATGTAATATAGAAAATTGAACAAACTTTAACATACATCCGGGCAAAGCAAAAAACACGGTCTGTCAAAAGGACGCTTCTCCCTTGAAACCGCTATTACCCTGAATTCTCTCTGGTGTTTTGGTAATTTAAATAGCTATTTTCAGAATATGAATAAAAACAAACATATGAAACTGAATTATTTTCTCGAGAAATATCAGTAAAAATACCTTGGCAAACTTGCCGCTTCGTGTGCGCAAAAAAGGACGGTTTTTCCATTGACACCGCTATTAGTTTAACTAACTTCACTCCTCGGCAACATTTGTTGTTTTAAAAGCGATGATTATAATTGTAATAAGACCTAAACATCTAAAAGTGAATTCATGCATTTTCTTCGTTCTTGAAAATTGACAACAAAAATACTAAACAATATTTATTTATTAGATTGTTTATTGGAATGATTGGCAAAACTTCGGCTAATTGCCAACCGATTCGAACGATACAAAATGGTAAATAAGGATTTCTTTATAGTTGGTTCACATATTTTAATAATTTAGTAAATATTTATAAATATATAAATAAAGATATTTCATATTTATTATTTTATATATCGGTAAATAATAAATATAACATTGCATTAATTTTAATACAATTATTAACGTTTAGAATATTGCAAACATAAAATTATATTTGTAAATAAAAAAAAAATAAGTAGTAATTAATATTTTGTTCTAAATTCTCAAGAATAAAAAGAAATTCACTTTTATCACTTGTTTAGGTTTTATTACAGTTCTAATCATCATTTTTTAAAACAATAAACATTGCCGAAGAGTGAAGGCAGTTAAAATATTAGCAGTGCCTATGGAGAAAAAAAAACGACCTTTTAATGGGATGAAGGTCCAAGTTTGCCAATATTTCTTTTCTTTATTTGTTAATTTATTTACAATTTTTAAAGACACAATAACTGTAACAATATTTTTTCTCGAGACATGACAATTTTCTTGAATTATTTTTTCGATTATTTATTTTACAAATTACAGAAGACGCGAGAAAAATAACAATACTTTTTGTAAAAGCATAATATTTAATTTGCGAATTCTACCAAACTATTTATTTACAAGATTAAATAAATATGCGTATATTTTACGATATGAATAATTTTATAGTAACAAGGTTATAAAACTATTTGAACCAGCCACAACGTTATATTTATTATTTATCATCGGATAAAAAAATATTGTATGAAAATAAATATTTTTATTAATAATTTTGCAATAATAAAAATAATAATACAACTAAAGAATTTACCCTTATTTAACGTACTTTTCAATCCAGATTTTTTCCAAAAAGTACTAAATATATGACTATTCAATTAAAAAGTTCAATTCGCCTATCTGATGTATGGACTTCAGAATTTTACGTCGAAATCGTCATCAAGGCGGCCAGATGTTCGATCAACCCTGATCCGGACGTGATGGCGCGAAATTCTTGAGTTAGTCAAACAGATAAGTCACTTGAACTTTTGTTTATTTGAATATTCATAAAAAATGATTTTCTTAATCAAGATCATTTTTCTAAAAAAAATTTAAATTCTTCCCTATTTTTTTACGAGCGGACCAGTCAAATTAACAATTGCCAAACAAACGTAAAAAAAATTAAGAAAAGAGACGGAAAGAGAATTTTTCTTTCCCTACGCGCGATTGCATGTGTACATTACTGTGCGAACCAGTGTATTTTTTTAATCATTTCACCCTAAGCAAGGCATGAAGATGGTTTCAGGAAGTGAAAGTGAGAAAAAAGTATGGATATGGTGGCGGGGACTGAGGAAATGATAATGGCTGAACGGGGTTCAAAAAGATGGCGACTGACGTTGCATTTAAATTTTTGAAGTTTGTATTTATCAGGGGACCAAGTAAACGAAAAGGAATTCCACAGACGGGAAGTGCGAGAAAAAAAAACTGTTGGTATAGAAGTATCGGTTGCATTTAATTATTTCAACCGTAAACGGGTGGGACCTACATGTCAAACTAACAACAACGCTTCAAATCGGCACCAGGAAAAAGAAAAGCTCGTCAGAGCAGTTGCCATGATAATAAAAGATAAAAAATAAAGACAGAGGGATGTCACGTGACGTCGCTTAGAAATTGACTGAAGTCGAGATGCCAAGTCAGGATCTATTACATTGCAGATCATTCTTTGGATTTTGTCAAGAACCTCGTGAGCAGGAGCACCAGACAAGATATGGCAGCAGTATTTAATGAACTGACGAATGATAGCTTTGCAAATGTGCAAGATGGACTCTGACGAGAATGCGTGTGTATCGGGATTATATGCTTGTGTGTAGAAAGAAATATTCCGAAGCAAATATTTATCTATATGTGTAGAATGCAGTAAAGATTTTTTTTTTAAGTAAAAGATATCTAAAGAAAAGAAAATGAGAATGAGGAAGAAATATTGAAACTAAAGGGAAAAGCAAAGGGAACATATTAAACCACAGTATATATAAGCGTAAAAAACAAACCCGAATATACAAGGTAGATAAAGTATAAAAAAAAAAAAGAACGAGAAAAGAAACGATATAAAGTTATAAAAATGGTAACATGTGGCAATGACGTGAAAAAGGGTGAAATGATGCAAACCAAAAAAAAAAAAAAGGGAAATTCTCATAAAACAAATTTACAGAAGCAAAAGAGAAATATCAACAGAAAAAAATAGAAGAAATTGCAGAGAAAACCTAGAGTGAAAATAAAACAAACTTCAATGAATTCTTAAAAGGAAAAAAAAATGTAAAAGTTAATAAAAAGAAAAAAAACGGAACAGCTAATATCTGAAGCAAGAATGACTTATCAATCCTTTCATTCAAGTTCTTCAAGATTCGCGTTCGACTCTTAATTCAAATGCTTTCTCTTTGAGAGGTTATGCACCGGAACCCACGTAGGTAGCGCGTTCAGGACACTGAGCGGGTGGTGTCCGTTTTTCAAGGGCTTTTGGTTCTTTGACGCAGTGCAATAATCTTAACCCTAATGGTGTCAGTGACACTTGACTGTACCAAATGACACGTGACAGCGAACTTGACGATCGGCGCCATCCCAAAACAATGGCAGTGGCCATAATATTCACGCATCACTTGCTTTCAGGCTGGCCACCATGACAACCAGCTGCTGCTGATGTCACTGCTATCGACTGGGTATTTTTTATTATTATTCGTTACCTTTTAGCTAAATGTTAAGTGATCAAAAATCGATGTCGTTAACAGGATTTGATTATTATCTATTTTACTAATGGTGTTAGATATGTGGTCAGATATGTTGGTAATATTAGTTACAGTTACTTTTGCTTTCTTTCTTTCTTTCTTTCTTTATTTATTTATTTATTTATTTATTTATTTTCTCCCTTGTTGCTTTCTTCCTGTTTCGTAATCAGCTGTTCTTTCTTTCTTTCTTTCTTTCTTTCTTTCTTTCTTTCTTTCTTTCTTTCTTTCTTTCTTTCTTTCTTTGATATCCAGCGTTCTTTTCTTCGTTACTTCTTTTTTCTTTCTTTCTAATCCTCGTTGATTTCTTGCATTTTCCTGTTTTGTAATCTTCCGTTCTTTCTATTTATCTTTCTTTTGCTTCCTTTCTTTCATTCTCCACACGTTTCTTTCTTCCTGTTTCGCAATCGACTGTTCTTTCTTTCTTTCTTTCTTTCTTTCTTTATTTATTTATTTATTTATTTATTTATTTCTCCCCTTCGTTGCTTTCTTTCTGTTTCGTAATCGACTGTTCTTTCTTTCTTTCTTTCTTTCTTTCTTTCTCCTCATTGTTACTTTCTTCCTGTTTCATAATCGACCTTTCTTTCTTGTATGAGATGTTAGTATATTATCAATTGGAAATTGCCTATTTTACAATTTACGGGTATTTTTACAAATCTTTTTTCTTTCAAAGTTAACGCCGTTACGAAAAAGTCCATCGTATTAACGACTTACAAGTTGATTTGGGCCATATGTCTAACTTCCACTTACTCATTATGTATCGAATTAAAAATTCAACTTAACTCATTCATTATTTCCCGTTGCGTCAGTATTAAAACTATTTATAGTATCTAATTACATCTTGGTGGCCCTTCTTTTCAGTGACAACTTTTCGCATTAGGATATTTTTAAAATCACAAACCTGGAAATTAAATTAAAAATGTAACCCGTAAGAACGGAGGCATTTCCATTGTCTGACGGATGACATTATGTCAAAATTTGGGCATTTTTTCCAGAAGAGACCAGAAAATGGAGAAATAAACAGATAGTGGAGGATTTAGAAAATCAAATAAAAGAAAAATGATCGAAAATCAAATAAAATAAATGTTGATTCTGTGATTCAAAGAAAATTGATTTGAAAATTGTTCATGTTATATTTCCCAATGGTAATGTGAAATAATTTTAAAAAAATATTTTTTTCTTCAAATCTGGAAAATTTTATCGGAATTAAGTCAAAATTAACCTGGGAATTGTTAATTGATCATCAGTGTGAATTGGAGATGAGTTGGGAGGAGAAGGAAGCAAAGAAATTGGGGATGAGGTCTGAAGGAAATAGAAAGCAGGTGGGGGGGGTGAAAACTGATTCTGGAAAAAGAAAGCGGCTGACTAAGGGAAAGGAATGTATATTGTGAAAGAGGGGAGAGAGAGACAGAGAGAAAAGATGCTTCTGGTAAGAAACAAAAAAAGACAAGAGAAAAGCCTACAGATTAGAAGTAAAAGGAAAAAAAGGAAAGGATGCCCCCAAAAAAACGAAAATAATGGAGGAGAACGAAACTTGAAGCCTAGGAACAACAAACGTTGAAGAAAGTGAAAAAGAAATACAGGATTTAATCGGTTTGTTTTAGGCGTAAAGTCATTAAACTGAAATTACACACATTTCATAACTATAGGAGTGCTAATCATGCGTGTAAGCAGACAAAAGCATGAAATTTAAGCTTAAATTTTTTGTACTAAGTATTCATCGAATACAATGCCCAAGAGCCGCTGATGGTAGAGAGTTATCGAATGAGGTTGTTGTAAGGACATAAATGAAGGATCAACGAGATTTTTGTGGCCTAGCATACATGCTAATTCCTTACGTTTTCGTATTTTCCAGTGATATTCTCTGTCTATTGAGATTCATACCTTTCCAAAGATTGCTTGTATATAAGTAAATGTAATGAACCAGACATGAATCCGAAATCGGCCGCTGATTTCTCATTTCGAGCTGATATCCATAAAACCATACGCACATGCTTTAAGAACCTGCTCAAATGACCGCCAAAGTACAACAGCTTGGGAAAGAAACTTATATGACAGACTAAACAAGATCTAATAAAGAAGGGCTGACAGAAGTAGAGACGAAATCTCATACGATTGGGAACAATGCAGAAAAAAAAGCCTCATCCTACGGGTGGCAGTGTTCTCTCTTTTCCCTCAATATGTGGTCAGCTACGCCTGATTTTTCTATTTCTCCTCGTGTTACGGCTTTACGATATTCTCGCAGTCTTACCTTAAGGGGGCGACCTGTTTCCCCTTTATATTTCTATTTAAATGTCTGTTCTCTATAAATATGTCCACATGCAATGATTCTAACAATAATAAACGAAGTTGCATCAATAAGTTCATATCCTGACAATAGTTATTAGCTGACTTTTGATTTGTAATTTTCACTGACTTTCGATTTGTAAATTTACAATGTTTGACCTAATAACCAAGCATTGTATGAACAAGAATAGAGATTAAGATGAAAAACATTCCAGAACAAAAATAAATATAATCTTATTATTAGGTTATGGTCGCTGGATGTATGACCGCACTTTAGATAATCTCTATTCCAGACACATGCTAAGGCACATTTGCGTTTCTTCGATACCCTAGAGTCAACTTATTGTTTATACTGTAACTATGCTGAATAGACTTTATTTACAGGTCCCGGAAAAGAGCATACAATCTGGCGTGATTAACTAGGATGATACGCTCAACCACCCAGTCACAATAACCTGGGTGCAATGATCGAACTGTTCTATCCACCTTGTTTAACTCACAACATTTGTGTCAAACGGCGGTATGGTTATCATACACTGCGAAACGATACCACACGATCGGATCGTCCCATGCACATGGTCAGATTCAAACCGCTGTTAAAAGATGAGAATGTAAACGTTCCAATCACTCTGCCTTATTGATGTACCTGCGCACAGAACCTCATATCTGCATTCTTTGAGACAAATCGATTGATTGATTTGTTTTTACGGCTTATTAACCGATCGTGGTTTATTTAAAAACAAAACATATTTTAGATTTTAAGCATAATTATTTTTATTTTGCTAATAAATATTGTATTAACAATTTTTTGAGAATAATAATGAGTTACCACTATGCCATGCATAGCTGTGAGGGGAAGAAGATTCATACCTTTTCAAAGTTTGTTTGTACATAAGTGAATGTAATGAACCAGATTGGAATGCGAACTCGGCCGCTTTCTCATTGCAAGCCGATATCCATAACACCACCCGCACTTCGATGGACGCTAATGTACAACAGCTTGTGAAAGAAACTTATATGAGAGACTAAACCAAATTTAATAAAGAAGACCTTAAAGAAGTAAAGACGAAAGCTCACACGAAACAAGGCAGAAAAGAAAGAAAAAAAACACATCTGTGTGTAGGCAAAACAAAATTGCCCACAATCTAATTTATTTATTTATATACTCAAACTGTATGCACGACTCTTATTGTCAGCACGAACTACAAAAGGCCGGAACGTAACAGACCGACATCATTTGTGTATGTGTATCATCAAAGTGTTCGTACAAAAGTGTTTGAAATATCTGGTTCTCACGAAATAATCTTCATTTACTTCGAATAGAAACCAGCAGTTCTTGATTGGGTGAACAGTTACCTAAAATACCTGTTTTCGATTCTTTTTGTTTTCTATTGTAAAAATAAGGAAGGGTGTCGTGGATTTATCCCACAGAGGGACAGAATCCAGAGTAAGTCATAAAACAGTCGAGAAAGCAGAGAGGAAAATAGAAACTTTTTTTTTTTTTTAAGTTTACAAAAATAAGGTCAAATACGAACGAAAGAAAGAGAAAAGCAGTTCATATAAAGACCAACTCAAATCTGAGTCAGAGGTGGGGGGGGGACAAAGCAAGAATGGAAAGAAAGCAATAATAAATCCGAGTGATTCTAGGTACACTGTGAAAAACAAACTCATGAAAATATAAAATCATGAGGATGGGAGTTTTTAAATTCTTACCAGATTTGGCACATGTTAATATTCATTTGTTTCGACCACAATTCCATTAGTAGTATAACATTAAGAAACAAAGAAGAATTTTATCGGAGGATAAAAAAAGAGATTTTTTTTGTCTAAATTTTTGGGTGTCATTATTCTAGTCATATTCGGACTATCCTCCTCCTCTTTAGACAGTTATCCCCTCTGTCTTTCGTCAGATGTATATTGATCTGGGTAATCTACAGGGTGTTCCGAAGTGAACCCTTTATTTAATCTACTGGTGTAGATTGTTTTCTTTCCACTTCTCATGTCGAGGGATATCATCTAGTTCTTATTTTATTTAGCACTGATCAGTTATTGCCCGATCGTTTCCACTGAATGTAAGTAAACACTGACCGACTAGGGACTGAAAGAAGAGAGAGGGGAGGTCTCAGCCCCTGCAGAATGAAGAGAAGAACTCTGGAGAGTTAGACGTCTGAAAAAATCACTGCGTATATTAGGCATTGAGCACCTCGTCCTTGCGTAGAAATAAATACAATATGGGAACAACAAATAAAGAAAGACAAGTGATAGCAAATTGTCAACAGCAACAGTAGAAATCAAAAATAAGGATAACGACAGTTGTCAAATCATAACAGCCAGCAGCAGCAGCAGTAGTGACAGCGGTAGCATAATCAGCAGTGAAGGTTAGGTTTAAAGCTCTACGGGACAATGGTGTAGTGGATAAAGGCGTTGGTTTGTGAATTTGGTGACAACTCCCTGGGTTGGCCAGTCTAATAACTGAACAGTGCTAAAAAAATAAGAACTTGTCGAGATCTCCGTAGACATGGGTAGTGGAACTAGAACAGTCTAACACCGTAGATTAAAAAAAGGGTTCAGTTTTGAATTCTCTGTAGGTTACCCAGCTCGATATACACATGAGAGAGGTCGGAGGGCACAACAGCCGAAACATTGTGATAAAAAAACAACAAAGATGAGGACAATATTCAGAATATAGTGTAAATAAAAAGATTTATTTAAACATGGAATAGAAAATGCATTTCCCATTGGATTGTAGTCGTTGAAAATGATTACATTTTTGATAAATAGTATGGAATCACATTTGTTTTTATATACTTTATGCTAAAACGTAGTTACATTCTGAAAGCACTATTATGCATTAAGCAAAACTGCCTTTTTTTTTTAACAAAAACTTCTGACGTTTTCTTAAACTTGAACACCGGTCTCTGGTTTTAGTTGGCAAACCATTTCCTCATTTTCGTAAATCCAAGTAAAAACACTCTTTAATGCAAGCTAAGATTATTTGAAATAGGAATTCAAGAACATCTCAACACTTTTGATTTTGAATCTGAAATAGGAGAGTCAAAGTTGTTTAATCTTTAATTAGTGCAGAAACTTTTCCCTCAAATCTAAGACAGGCAAAATTTCCCAAGTTAAAACTATGAAATACTCGTTTTATTTTAAATTGTTCAAACTGGCTTAAGTCGATTGTTGGAAATTATTTTTATATTTTCTTTTGACATAATAGCTAGCATTATTGGCTAACTTTAAAAATTTTGAAGCAGTGCGACAATATTCTTACTCCTGGGCGTTTAATTTTGTCACTAATGAACATAAAATCACGTGTCTTCTTCATGTATTTGTACAATCTGCGCAAAGGAAATCGGCAGTGGGAAGACGGTTACGATACTAGATTGTAAATCTATTTAGAGTAAAAGGTCTGATGAAATAAAGAACAGATCTACAGTCAGTGAAAATACTAACGTTTTAAAATAACGTTTTCATTTATTTTTAAAATTAGATTTATTCCTGGCTATAAGTACAATGGGACAAATTCGTCTTCATGTATGCAATGTAATTTATTTAACTTGATTAGGAGTGTCTCCATGCAGTGTAAGAATTAGTATGTTTGTTTCTTGGTGGATCATTATTGGTTGGTTGCTTGTTTTTGTTTAACGATACAACAACGTCTATGGGGTTTTTTAATGTCGAATTCTAAATAATTTGTACCTATTTTTTTGATGATTTTACTGATACAAGTCTTACTAATTAACTCATACGGGGCGAGAAGAGGTGGATTTATAGCTTTCCTACTATTATTTTCCCAGTAAGTGAATATAACGAAGACAAATGGAATTGGAACTCGGCTCTGCGATTAACAGTTCCATCAGAACCATTATCCATTACACCACATGTACATCCAAGTTTACAGCACTTGGTATTCCCAAGTTGTTACTCATCTAGGCTTGATGTTGCTTAACTTCGGTGTTTATACAGGAATCAGCACATCAACATGATATGACATATATATATATATATATATATATATATATATATATATATATATATATATATATATATATATATATATATATATATATAATATAAAAGAAAAAAAAGAACAGTAAGATATATAATGCGGTGTTCTTATTGATATTTTTATTTTTACAAAACAGTGCTCAATGAAAATTTACAGAGCAT